TGGACAGCATCTGTTTTTCGTGACTTCACTGGTGAGCTGATTAGTCCGTAGTTTAACTTCCGCCTCAGATTTACTTCTTGTCAACTTCAGTCATTATTTTTTTTTTAATTACAGCTTGATGCCACACCGTATTTTTAGGTACAGGTATGGAATTTTCAGCATGGATATCGGTAGCCCAAATTTTGCAGGCTGACCAAGGATATCGGGTATGCGCCGGCAGGGGGTCGAACCCCGGACCATGTGCATGGTCGGCGAGAGTCCCAACCATTGTGCCACCGACGCATCATCTTAGTGAAGTCAATTTAGGTTATGTCTAACGATTTCAGAATGCTGAATCTTTGATTGGGAGCTTTTACTGGTGTAGTTGTTAACAGTTCACATGGCGTAGATGTATTCCCTCTTTTTCATCTTAAAGAAGTTGAGTATCACCATTATGCACTATCCTCTCTCCTACAATCATGCTTACTCACTGTGCACTTTCTCGAAGTGTGATGATTTGAACTGATTAACCTCGTAGAGTTGTAATAAGACAAAAACATGAACTGTAATAGAAAAACAAAGGCAGACATACCAAGTTTGCTTTCTAAATGACTCCAAAGGAATTCGACTGAGATTTTTAAAGTGAGTTACACTAAAACTACTTTTGTGTTTCGCAGCTGAAAACTGCACCAAACGAAACCATCTCAAGTGATAGTCAGTAACAGCATATGACTCTATTCAACTTTACCGGGTTTTCCTTAGTTCTCCTACTTAGTTAGACATGGTGATAAGAAGTTGGTCAGAATGAATTTACAAAATTTAAGTAACTCAAAATGCGGAAAAACATTTCCCTACGAACCAGCTGAATTCTTTTAAGTAGTGTACCATGATAGAGGCATACGCTATATAAAATGCAATCTAGATGAATACCCGTAACAACACAAAATTAATTTTTATGCGCATATTTTATACTCTGTAATTACAATATTTAATGGTCAAAATTTCATAGAATCTTCTCGTCCTGTGTTTGTCTCTTATCAAGTATCTGCTGACATTTTGGGATTAATTAGGTCTGATGATAAAAAGTTTTTTTTTTCTTATGTAGCTATGTTCTCTGAGCTGGATGGTTTATTTGCGAAGCTTTCATTGCCCTCTTATGCAACATCTTCAGAGCATACTTCGTCCCTCCCAGTGACCTTGAACGTGATTGGTTGCTCTTGTCTGTTTTCACACCCTTGACCTGAAGTTTGACTTTTTGTGTATGAGATTTTCTTCTAACGGATTGGTAAATTTTATCTTTGCCAATGTGCCTGTTAGTTGTTGATTTACTGGAATACCAGGCTTCCAAAAATTCTCTGGTGTTCTTGGTGAGATGACTAATAAACTCGTGGAGAAATCTAAAAGCTCATTTCAAATTGAAGTATGCGCTGAAGATGTTGTCTAGTAAGTCAGTGAAAGCTTCACAGGTAAACCATCCAGCTCAGAAAACACCACTACATTAAAATTATCCACTGGAGCTACAAATCTTCGTCATCATATCTAAATAATAAAGTGTATTTAAAGTGCTTATCAGAAAATTCGTATGATGTGTACCTAACTGTATTTACTGAGTTCCTCAGATCTACTGACTTATGCAAAATAACTATCAGAAAGAATGACTACACTTAAACTAATGGAATCCTAGTGTCTTTAATTTAAAACTTATTTGAAACCAAAATGTGATTATAGCAACCGCAGAGTATCGTATGTTAGTCACTGCACACTGAAAAATAGTCAAACATTTAACTCTTCAGAGGTTTAAAACAGACGCCTTTATGTACAAAGTGAAGACAAGCAAGCAACTATTCATCAAGCTTATTCTGTATCAAATAATTGTTTGGATGTATGCACCTCGTTCAAAGCGTCGGTGGCACAGAGGTAGAGTGCTCGCCGACCACGCAGGTGATCCGGGGGTTGATTCCCGGCCAACGCACTCCTTTATCTCGCTAAGCCAGTAATAAGACTGGTAAAAGGGGAAGGTTGGGCATGAGGCTAGCAAACCCATCCCGTCAAAATAGATACCACTGCTACAGAAACTCCAGGCCTCTAGCTTGAAGCCCCTTGTTCTACTGGGAACGTTAAGGAATAAAAAAAATCTTGTTCAAAAACATTTTCAGCTTTTTAACTAGTTTTTAATCTTTTTTTTAATGTCACTTAAGCTGTCTTCATCGATTATTTTGTTAGCACAGATATCAACTTTTTATACCGATTTATTATGGTTCCCTGAATTTCTAGAGTTAATATGCTCAGCGAAAGAAGATCTTTGTTTGACAAAATGATTATAAAGTCACTAACGTTGATCAACGGTTATGGTTTTGTTTGGGCGAACTGACTTAAAATATAAAAAATTAGAGCTATTTTTGTAAACTAGGAAACCGATTTTAAGCTTGACTTCAGACAGTCTAAAAAGATGTCTAATTTTTGAATCACACTAATTTGTCCTGTGAAATCGATAAAATTAGCAGCAAGCATATTATTTAATGATATTTTTCATTAGTTTTACGTTATATAGAACAGTATGTTATGCAGCCAGTTATACTCAGCTCTATCCTTATTTTCAAACTGGTTAAATAAAGTGTTTTAAAATGACAGTGTTTATGTAGCGGTTTACATACTGTCTAATAAATAAGCCTGAATACTTCCAGTCATTTAGGTCAAAGAGTGATTTTATGGAGGGAAATTAGAATGGCGAATAGTACAGGTCATTAAAGTTGATAAACAGAGACGTTCTCTGACCATCCGCCTAGTGTTCTTAAACTGTATAGTGACACAGTGTGACTGTGTGGAGCCTCAGCTTTCAACAACTTTCGTCGCTGTTGAGAAGTAAACAGCTGCGACTGACTACTGAACTTTATTTATTCTCTTGCAATGTAACTAGCGAAACTTGCTGTCAAGTTTTTACCGTTTTTTTCATTTTCCCACATCGAGACTTTGTGAAAGCAAATCTATTATGAGTGCAGAACTTCATCAGGCTAAAACTGATTGCATTTAAAACAATATTTTTATCAAATCTATGTGATTTATTTCATTTTTAACTTTTCAGTGATCACTTTACATACATCTGTGTTTCAGAAATCATTTCCCAGACATTTGACATAAATATAAGCAGTGCGTTTTTAAACAACACATTTCATGTTTATTATAACTGGAAAACAAAGATAGGCAAATGAATACTTGAACATAAAGTATTGTGTTTACATAAGTTAAATTCATTCACTGCTATTTGTAGCAGAATTTTAACTATCTGTTAGCTAATAATTAAAAAAAACCCACAGATAAGCTTACCGTTCTCTTATTTGGGAACTGGTGATAGAGATAATCACGACAGTTTTTGAGTGACTGATGATTTCGAAGTCAAAAGAAATATATTCACGCTAAAATTAGAGTATTATCTAGATTTGATCAGTAGATGAGTAGAAGATAATTTAATCACTAACAATTGGTGCACTGTGCAAAGCTTTCTTGCTTTCCACTAGTGAATTTCTTTGGTTCATCTGAAGTCAGGGACTTAAGTCCTATAGTATGTTGATTACTTTCTAAATATTCCAAAAATGTTCCAGAATGATAATTTACTTTAAAGACATATGCATTTCTCTACCCTAGTGGAACACCAAAGTGCGAACTTCTAAAGCCTTTCTCCGGATAGGACTAGTACAAAACAATTCATATTAATTGAAAGATTTCATCATGAGCTGTCATCAGTTAGAAAACCATTAGAAAACCTACAGGGAGTACTGGACAGCTTTTTCCTCCGTCCTAATTTGGGACTCTTCGGCAGTACGAACCCACTTCCAGTGTTCAAACCCAGGACCTTCTGGTCACAAGACGAGCTCGTATACTATTTAGCCGCTGGGACTCGATCCAATGGATAGCCCATAAATTACAACTTCTGCCAATTCATGACATAGCGCGACCACTTCGCAATGTCTTCTTTGATGATTTACTGCCTCACCTACAACCTACTGAACCCTACTGGTCACGGCCTCTCACTAGAACCCCAGGTTGCTGCCTGAATAGGGCCAGTCGGTAGTGAGCATCAGATCAATTTTTCAAGCATTGGTTGTTTTTTGTAGGGATTTTGTTTGATTGGTTGGACAATTCACATTAATTGTGATCAAGATTCGACCGAACAGTTCCAAAATAATTTGACACCGAGTGAGAAGTAGACACATGTATAAGGTTTAAGACTTTGCGAGTCATGTCTTTATGTTTGGCAAATTTTCTGATCTGCTTAAACAAAACGCATGGGGCTCACAGCGTGATACACTAAGTAAAACTTCATCCTTATGTCCCAAATAAGATGAACAAAATGACATTAATCCTAACAGAACTAGGTTTCCTCGAGTCTATTTGTGATAAATTTTAAAGCTCAACAAGCAGTCTTTTGGAATGGACCAAATAAATCAATGAAGATAAAGATGTAGTGGGTCATTATCTTTCAACAGTATCAAATGAAGTCTTTTTCTCATTTTTTGCATTACCAGAGGAAAATAAAACTTTAGACTTTGAAGTCCCAGTAGTGGTAGTGTTACAGGTCTGACTCCCAACATTCCCTCTTTTTCGGACTTACTCCGGGCTGGTAAACTGGGAGACGCTCAAGGATGATTAGGCCAGGGATCAAATCCCGATATCCTGTGTGTCTGTTAGGCATTCTGTCACAGAACTCCCAACGAACAATAGAATCCAAGACCCAACTTACATCTTGTTTGGGACTTATTAGCTGAATACACTTGCTTCCGATTAATTGATGGTCTCTTCACTGAGACTCGGCCCCAGTACCTTTGCTTCAAATGCTAGAGTGTTATCCACTGGGCAAAATGTGATATTATGAAACAACACAACTAAGCAGTGCTGAAAGGAGATGAAAAGTAAGTAGTAAAGCCATCAAATTGGAATTCATCTTGTCGTTTTTTTTGCAATTAGTCTTTCAGGTAGGATTAAATTATGCATCTGAATTTTGTCTTGTTTTTGCATTTCTTTAGGTATCACCTTCTAATTCATGAAACATCTAATCTTCCTCCATTGTATATCGAAATTGATTGACTCTTAAGTTGTGCAAACATTGAAAGATCCCATGGTAGTTACTATGCAATTTCGCATTATCAGCTTTTTATTCAGGTTTGGAATTCATTGTTTACATGTGAGGCAAACGAGATTATTATGCACCATAGTACTTTTTATATTCTTCATCTTTTGCATTTGGTTATTGATAACATTATACCTTCAAGAAGATTATCAAATATTTCAATTCCCGCCAAATATGGACTTGTATAAAATCCATGAGAAGGAAAAGTTAAAAGTTAATCCAAGTGCACCTCCACTGTGGAAAATAATATTCCCTTTATCTTCGAATTACAATGATATGTGTTTTAGTAGAAATCGTGAATGTAATAGAAACCACCATAATTCAACTTTCCATCAATCACCATGTCAAACAGCTGATTACTTTTTGATTATTAGATCTCATGTCAGCCATTTCAATCAACGGGATGCTATTCGTCAGACATGGGGCAATCAACAATGCTACGAAAACTTCGGTGCCCATGTTCGTATTTTGTTTATTTTAGGTAAAGAAAATAATCATGTGAAATACGACCAAGTTAAAAATATCATAAATGATAAATATTATGAGAATGATCAATCAGATAGTGTCTTATCTAAATTATATTATGAACATTCTACACATCATGACATTATTCAATTTGACTTTGTTGATAATTATCCAAATTTACAGAATAAATGGATAGGCAGTATGGACTTTTTGGCAAAATACTGTTCAGCTAACAGTAAATCATTTGTTATTCTCATTGACGATGATTATTTTCTACATCCAGTCAACTTAATACATCTATTATACCGTGTTACACCAAGTCAGTACAGAATTTATGCATCTGGTGGCCTACGACATGTATCATATCCAGTACGTCTACCATTTTTACCTGGATATATATCCTTATCAGATTATCCATTCAACATATATCCACCTTATCTATTTGGTGGTACAATCATCCTGAGTATGCCAGTAGTCCACTTGGTTCGTACTGGCTTCCAGTATGTTAAACCTATCCCATATGATGACATTATGTTGGGGATTATATTATTAAAATTCGGTATCGGTCCAGTTCATATCAAACAAATATATTCACATAATCCACCTGATATGCATATACTGAAGAAGTTACAGTTTATCAGTGTTCATGGTTTTAATAAACCTTCCTTACTTCATTCGTTATGGTCAACTTTGAATATGGATCTTATTTGTAAAATAAAAATGAGAGAATAAGAAAGTGCATTTTTTTAAAATTATTTTTTGGTATTTCTATTTTTTGTTTATTTTGTTTACATAACTTTATAACTCTAACTTATTTTAACAATAAAAGTTTCCAAGAATATTACATTTTCATTTGAGAAGTAATTTTCCTATGCATATTCCTAAATTAGTTGCAGAATTTAGTTAATTTTGCTCAAGTGAAAAGTAGACTATAGAGTCCTAGAATACTTTGCTTTATTTGCTTTTCTAGTCCTGATACAAAATCTGTTATCATGTGAGATTAGCCAAACTTTCTGCTATCAGCTTTAAGCAGTAATCTGATGCTCGTTGGTGACTGGCCAGAGAACGGAGTTTCCTACAGTTCTAGTAAGAAGTCGTGACCAGTGGGGACCGTCCTGTCAGGAGTGAGAAGAAATGCTCGCCGATGACATTGGCTAGTCCGATTCGTACTAAAATCATGAACTGTTGGAAGTTAGAATTCATGGAGTGACCGTTGAGTCGGGTCCCAGTGGCTGAATGGTCCATGAGCCCGCCTTGTAACCAGAAGGACCTGGGTCCGAAACCCGGTGGGTGTGCACTGCCGATGAGTCCCAGACTAAGACAAAGCAGCTGTCCAGTACTCCCTGGTTTTCAGTGGTTCTCTAACTGATGTCATTCTGGGGTCAGACTTGAAAAACAAATCAACTCCTGAAAATCATTTTTTTAACAGTTGGGATTGAATAGAAATGCTAGATAACTTTGACTGTTGTTCATTTACATATGAAAGACAACATTTCTGCCAATGAGTTTGGAAACAACATAACGCATGTGACAAGAAGAAACACATGCCCACATGAAATCCATTAAGTATATTTCCGACCTTTGATGGATCTTTCGGAAAATAAATTAGTTGTTTTATACACTTTAGGAAACATTTATTAATTTGAAAATGATGTGCCTTCATGACCGATTTAAGCACTTGACAAATCATTTTTTTTCTATCTTGCGATTGTATGCGATTGACTCATTAAAACGTCATTATCAATAAACCAATGCAAGTAGCTACAGATGAGCTTATCTTCTTAAAATCACTCAGATCAGAGATCTCATTTGGATAGTAATTCGCTACATCAAAATTATTCGAACACTATACAAATCACACTTTCTCAGAATAATTTAACATTAAATTCTGTAGCATTGGATTCAACTGAAAGTTAAAATCAGTGAAACATGAATTAAATCTCCACAGCTGCTAGTTATGTGAGAGAAAAAGAACAATAAAAATGAAGATTTCCCAGACAGAAATGAGTCATTAAATTCCTTCAAAGAATACATCCTGATACCTTAAAAAAACTGGTTCAAAATATCTTATTATGCAGAATTCGACGTAGACAAGAACCTGCAGAAAGATATTCTTTCAATGGACAATAAAAATGTTATTTATGCACCCAGTATTGGATGCAGTGAAACAGTTCTCCCAAAATAATAACATATACGTAAAAGTAATGACAACATGATTCTTAGTAGTAGTAATAGTAGTTGTTGAAGTAGTTATCTGACAGATGAATTTTCTAAAATTCTCACCAGATGCCATCCCTGACAGCGTTAACCATATTTTAGTTGATTTAATTTTGTTCACCGATAACAACGAAAACTTTTAGTGGTCTACGAAGAATTTTTAAAACTTGAAAAGTAGACTACCAATTTTAAGTGCACGAAAATGGTGTACCGCTTCGACCAGTACTAGATATGTTAAATTCACCATACCATTCCGTAGCCAAATGGTTAGTCGAACTCTTACAGCTTCTTCATACCGAGTTGGAGAAACATAGTGTAAAGGATACTTTTGGATTTGTTGAAAGGATAAAAGATTTAAATGTTGACAATAAATTCATGATGTCATTTGACGTATCTTCCTTATTCACCAATGTACCACTTATGGAAACAGTGGACTTTGTATGCGAAGAACTCAAAAGACGAAACATCGATGTTGGCATCCCTATATCTTTTATGAAAGAGCTTCTCTTGAAATGTACAATGAATGTCCACTTTTTGTTCAATAAGGAACTGTATAGACAAATCGTGTGCGTCGGTGGTATAGCGATTATGACGCTCGCCGACCATGCACATGGTCCGGGGTTCGATCCCCGGCCGTCGCACTCCTTCAACTCGCTAAGCCAGAAATAATGCTGGTGAAGAGGAAAGGTTGAGCATGAGGCTAGAAACCCCATCCTGTAAAATAAACACCGCTACAGAAATTTCAAGCCACTAGCTTGAATCCCTATGTTCCACTGCGGAGAGGGAAGGAAAGGAAAAAAACAGACAAATCGGCTGTGTGGCAATGGGGTCACCACTAGGACCCATTCTAGTCGACATTTTCTTTGCGAAACTAGAAAATGGGCCTTTGAAAGATGTTCTCAATAAACTTGAATTCTGTTGTCGTTACATGGATGATAAATTTTTGATTATGATAAATGAGGAGGAACCAAAGAACATCCTGGATAAATTTAACTAAGTTCATCCTGCAATAAATTTTACTATTGAGAAAGAAAAAGATTCTACTATTTCATTTTTAGACGTCCCTATGACCAAGAAAGAGGATAGGAAGAAGTGTATATAGAAAACCTACATCAAAGGGTCAGTATACACATTTTCTCAGCTTCGTTCCCTTGAAATACAAACGCAATCTGATAAAGTGCTTGGTTAATAGAGCAAGAGCAATTTGCTCGGACGAATGTCTTGATGAAGATCGTAATAATATTAAACGGTTGCTAAGTAAAAATGGTTATCCAGAAAATTTTATCGATAAGAATATGAATCTAAAATCAAAGCAGCCTAAGTTACCAACAGTTCATAAAAAGGCCTTATTCTTGCAAATGCAGTTCCTTGGGAACAACGTCAGCGAGATACTAACACAGCACCTGAGAAATGCGGCAAAAAGAGCATTTCCTGCTGCTGAATTACGCTGTGTCTTCAAAACCACTCAACCCTATTTTGCCTTCGGGAGTAAAAAACAAACAGGCTAATTTCGCCTCTTCCATGTGTATCAACCAATTTAACTGCTCCTGTGGAGCCAGTTACATAGGACGTACAATTAGGCGTGTTTCTCGTCGAATTTCCGAACATCACCCTGTGTGGTTAAGTAAAGGACAAACAAAATCTATTTGTGGCGCTATTCTATCTCATCTTGTGGAGACAGAACACAAGATTGACGTTAACCATGCTTTCAGGGTCATTTACCGCATACCTACGAGTCTCAATTTCGCCTTAAGAGTTCGACTACTAAATATTGCTGAGGCTGTGGGGATCCATATTAACAATCCTAATTTATGCATCCAAAAGAAGTTAGTTCAGACATTATCATTACCTTGGCCATCTAGGTTTGAATAATCCTGAATTTTTGTGGAATTTTCCTAATTTTAGTTGATATTCTATTTGCTACTATATCTTTATTATTATTATTATTATTATTATTATTATTATTATTTAAGCATCTTTAATGAACTGTAATTCCATTGATCTTACTTTACAAATCGTTATTATTTTTAAAAAAACTAATATTGTTATTGACAACTAATTTAGAATATTCTATGTATATAAACATATATATAATTGTAGAGCCGGAAGATGAATTTATCGAAAAGAATATTCTTTGCTCAATTATTTTTAATTTTAAGTCTGTTAGTAAATTCCAAACCATTTAATAAAGACTGAATTTGAAATGAAGACTAAATAACTTTCAAGTCTCACGCGGTTTTCAGTCTGTGACCAGAAGAGTTTTAACCTGTTTTGTACAGCACAACTATCGCCTTTTTATTTGGCAATCAATAGGCCGATAAATCTATTACACCAACAGATTATTTTTAATTTTTTTATCATGTCAGTTGTTTACTCTTTAGAAAATGTCAAATTAGAAGAAGCAACATAGTTGATAAATGGTGTAATCTCACTAGGTCAAAGGTCATATGTGCTCACTTTATGTTATTAGATACGCATCAGATTAATTTATTTTGATATTCAAGTGTTGGTTTGCAGGGATCTGATTACTTTCAGGATTTCATCATGAACTGACATCAGTTAGAGGACCATTGGAAAACCTAGGAGTTTATTTTGACAGCCAGAGTTTATCTTATCTACGTATGCTTAAACATCAAATAATTTTTGAATATTCAGCTTGTGAACTAACTGAAATCACATCATACTTAAGCATAATGATATGACTCTGTCAAATGATTCTGGAAACGTCGCATTAATGCTACAAATACAAAGACTAACTGCATACTTCTTATAGACTGTAGATCGGCCAGCAGTTAGATGTTAATATTTGACTTACCGATAACCAATCGTGCAACACTTATCACTGACTTACTTATCACTTCCTTACTGCCGATTGCCTCCAACCATCTAATACCAACAATTCACAGTGCACCGTAATGGCGAGCCACCTAGCATGATGGCCACATTGCAAACATGGCTGATAGAATTTACCCTGCACCAAAGATTGGACTAGATACATTACACTAGTTACTGCCTAGTGTGCAATCAAAAATAACTTACTTTTTACATTGGGAAATGGTTCTCGCAAGATAAAAAAATCCATATTCTTTGGTTGTAATCTGCACTATAGCTGTCTAGTTGGTGCTCACAATGAAGCCACTTTCTAAACTGTTTCACTGATTATAATGATGTCATTTATTACACTGTATAGTGTTTGGTTCTACAACAAGCCCGTTTTTATGTCATCGGTTCAGGTAGGTCTACTGATGTACTGTGAGAATACGACACTGAAGTGTTAAATGGAAATCTGTGTTAAATAAAGGGTTAAGTAATAGCCGTTTTAGTCGCTTATACATAAGTGATTCCATATAGAATATCACTTTATTTAAGAACTGAATAAAGGCCTTCAACAGCAGCTAATCTCTTGAAATCGAAATATTTCTTTTTGCTTTTCGCCTCGCCGAAACAAATGTATTGAATTTTACTTCCTCAGTGTAAATCTGTTCATTCATTCTTAAGTATTTACCAAGGGGAAGATTTTATTGAAGATAAATCTGTAAACTCAGAGATAAAATATTATTTTATTATTTGGTGGTTGCGCTAAATCTCAAATTGGTAAAAGTCAGAACTCATGGGCCAT